CGACGGCAGCATTGAATATGATCAGCAAGAGTATCTGGAACGCATCCAGCCGGCTCATATCCCTAGGCAGAGGCGGAGTGAGCCGGAAGCCCCCCTTAATGCTGATGAGGTTCACGAGCTTAGGCGTTTGAATGGGAGCATCCAGTACGCTGCTGTACACACGCGGCCGGATTTGGCAGCTAAGGTAGGAATGTTGCAGTCTGCAGTTCCTCGTGCTAGAGTTTCGCATTTGATGGAAGCCAGTAAACTTTTGCATGAAGCCAAATCGAATCCTGTCTCGCTGATGACAGTGCCAATCCAAGAGCCACACGTGACTTTCTGTTCATTCTCCGATGCTTCTTTCGCTTCTAGTCGGGATAGTAACTCTTATTAGGGGACACTGGTGGTGGCAACGGACTGGCGGATGCTGTCCAACAAGCAAGCTGTGATTGCGCCAATGGCGTGGTCAAGCCGCAAGATTGCTCGGGTGGTGCGCAGCACTTTAAGCGCTGAAGTCTTCTCTCTGTGCAATTCCATAGATCGCATGTCTTGGTTGCGTTTGTTCTGGGAATGGATGAAAGATCCATCCATAGACATTTCACAACCTGATCAGATTCTCAAGGGAGCTCCCAAAGCTGCGCTAGTGACAGATTGTAAGAGCGCTTCCGACATTGCAACAAAGACGGCTGTGCCCAGCTGTACAGAGATGCGGACCCAGCTGGAATGCCTTTTACTAAGGGAGCGACTCCAGGAGAATTGCCAGATGCGATGGGTACATTCCAAAGCTATGCGGATTGTCTAACAAAGACTATGGATGGTAGCGATCTTCGTAGGTGCCTGGCCAGTGGGCGATACGCTTTGTTTGATGAGAATAAGATACTGGCTGAGCGGCAGGGGAGAAGACAATCGCTAAGATGGCTCCGGAAGGAACCGGATGGGAATGCAAGCGCAGAAGCTTAAAAGTTATTATAGAATTTTACGAGTGTTAAACCAGCGCAGAAAGCATGCTTGAAGGTGCGCTTGCATGGTCGATGGCTCCAGCACAGGGGAGCGGGATCGGGCGGGAAGTGCTTGGCAAAAGGGCGCGCGAGCAGGGCTCGACACGTAGGACAGGGTCCTCAGGTTTAAGGGTCGGGGCACCCTCTAAGGATAGGCATCCAGGGTTTTAGGGACAGGTCCGGGCTACCTTATTCACAATTATCATCATCATCATCATCATCAATCATCATCATCATCATCATCATCATCATCATGCGCCTGGACAAATAAATCCTGCACAACTTGAAATGCGATCATCGCGTTCATTCGCTAGTCAACATGCTGGCCTATCCATGCTTCGAGAGCACGAACAACAGCGAATCCGGCGGGTCTTTGAAGCCGTGTGTCCGAAGTTTAAAAAATTGAAATGCTAAAGCAGCTTGAAAACAAGCACCCAATAATGCCAACTACTACACTTGTGGGTATCCGCATCTCGCGCTTGCACTAACAAACGTTAGAGGACCCAGCAGCAGACCAGCAACGCCCATGCTTCAGTAGCACAATTCCGCAATTGCAATGTTCACGATTTGCACGCCACATCCCGATGAAAATCTGACGTTGTGACACGAACAGCCCCAACATCTAAGACAAGTTGGCAGAGCTGAGCCCTCCGTCCCGACCTGCCTAGAAGTGGAGTTGTGAGCTCTTTGAGCTCATGGAAGGTAGGTGTGCTTCAGTTAAAAAGCACTGCAGCGCCGCAGCATGGGCGAACAACCACATCCGTTATGCTTTCGAGCATCGTCAACAGCGTCCAAACAATGAACCCGCATGCTGTTACTGATTGTTTCCTGCAAGTTTGGGAACGAGTGTGCAGGGTAGACAGAAGCCACATGTCTGCCTACAACCCCACACAGTTAAATTCAAACATCTGGAAACATAATCTGGGGTGGTGGAGGCCTCCATGAATGTGCCCTTGATGCGCAGCATGATGTTGTCGTCATCCTTTCAAGTCTTCTGCGGCAACAGCATGGCATTTCCGTGCCACTCCAACAGTAGGATACCGCTCCTTGCTAAAGGCAGCTGTAGGAGGAGCCTCCCAAAAAGTCGACAAAGCACTTGCAGTTTGCTGGCATGCACTCTGGTGGTTTGGTATTCTTCCAAGGCGAGCGCCGTCTGCTGGCGTGGAAGTCCGCTGCGACCTCAGGGCCGATCAAGCTCCCAGTAGCCGACAATCAGGGCACCAACAATACATGCAAAGGACACATTGCAGTGTTGAAAAGACTGCTCTGAGATCATTAGCAACAGTAGATAGGCTGGCACCTGCACCAAAGAAGTTGGAGGCCTTACAGTTCAGTTGCAATGCATGAAGTGAAGGCCGGTGCAGATCTCTCACAAACCCCTCCTCAGTCTCTGCATCACTTTCACTTGCTGATCTGTCCTTGCAACCACGGCTGGTGTACAAATGACCTTCATGTGGTCTCTAGGACTGCAATCCCAGCACAAGCAATCACAAGCACTAGCAATTCCCTGGCCCCGCAGTTCCTAGATACAACTTTCACATGGCGGCGTCAGAGATCCTCCAGTATCCCGTGCCCTAAATGTGGTTGCATCCGCACACCAGCAACGCAAGAGGTTCCACCAACTCAAAGAACCGTGGCGAGATGGAATCTGTTCAAAAGCAGCATTGAAGTCCTGGAGAATTGCTTCAGATGGTGCTTCCTCTTCGCTGCCCATCGGCATCTTAGCCACAAACATGCAGGAGCATTTTGTGCTGGCTGAATGAGCCTGAAATGCCAGCTAAGTCATTCAGCGCGGCACAAAAGCCGGAGCATCAGCCGAAAGGCCCATATCCTGAGGCATGCCGTCACTGGCGATGGTTCAAACATCATGTGTTTGGGATATGCCGCGCTTGCCACTCCTCTCCAGCACAAGATCCAGCATCGAAGCCCCCAGAGTCGCTGAAGCCATACTCGAAGCGGAAATCCTCCGCCATGGCACGTGACTGTGACCACACCAACTTCGGTGCTATGCTCGGATTCTCTGCAACAGACAAGTTGGCGGAAGGGAGAAAAGGGCCTCAGGCGCGAAATCGGCTTGGAAAGCAGGCAAGCCTGACAAGACAAAAGCAATTGCCAATTGCTATGACTCAGCAGCAAAAGAGAAACACAACTCGAGATTGATGCAGCCTATTGCAGCCTGTACCCTAAATTTCAGAACCCGATGAAAGCCAGCGATATCTTGATAACAAACAAAACCCTCTACCCGCGATGTAAGCAAACTGCCTGAGGGATTGCTCCGAAGCTCTTCCAGACCGTGGGCGTATCTGCACGAGGAGCCTGCCTGACAAATGTCTATTCTAAAAGCTTTCGCTCTCGCGGTCATTCTCACTTCTGGGATTGATGAGGGCGGACGACTCTTCAGCCTTGCAGCTGCCATTGGCCCACCAACGACACAGCTCAGTCTTGAAGACTGTGTCTGTGGCTCGAAGTTCTGCATACCTCTGGCACACCGTGGATGAACCAAAGCAAAGTGTACAGCCTGCAGCCAGCTTATCACTGGTACTCACAGGGGCCCATGCCCATGCGCAAACTTGCAATTGCTGTCATTGCACTTTCTGCGGAAGAAATTGTAGCCTAAGTGGCTGGCATACATTCCACAGCTTCGACAAAACGGCTACTTCCAACAAGTGCTCGGCAAAGTTTGGTCTTCTTCAGATCTGGAGCCTTCTGCAGCTCCTGCGTTGTGGCATGCACTTTCTTCAACTGCTGAAATCCAAGGCACCTTGACCAACACCACAGAACCTTCACCCCAATACATGACATCAAATCTCATCGTCATAAGTACCCATCGCACCGCTGCCTCCTCTGAGTGCGCAAATGGACACAATGCACCCATGCTGCACTTTTGCTTTCTGTTGAAGACCTCATGCCAAAAAAAGCTTGCGCATCCTTACGAATCACCTGAGCGGATTCCGGTTTCGATCATTGACTCAGCGCAGCTCGCAAAGCTTTGTCTTGTGAAATTGTTCTCGGATCTGTGGGGAGAACTTGCTGTTCAGCCTCGGGAGTCCCACAAAGATTCTGTCATGGGACTACATGATTGGTACGGACGACGCAAGGTCCGGGCAAACCATTCGAATCAAAGGACCAGTGAGAGGCTGCTGCAGGAAATACCAAAGGGCCATTGGTCATGTCCTGCGCCATTAACGAGCTCTGAAACAAAAGCTCAAGCAGCAGCCATTTGAAGTACGGCGTCAGAGGGTGCCTCAGCGACACAGGCCTGAGTCCAATAAGCAACGTTGTTCTCCAGCCCCTGGATAGGGCACAGGGAGACGACCCCCTGGCGCCGAGACCACAGGTGCCATGGCTCCAAATCATTCACATCTGCCGAAGATGTCGCAATCAAACAATCAAGGACTTACTTAGTGTGCTGTTTCGATGTCGTCCAAGCCTCGTTGGACGCCTGTTGGAGGAAGCACTGGCAGACCATCCTGCCAACGTGGCGCCCATCTTGTGTACACAGATACAGCCAGCAACATGAAACTCTAGGGCCCAAGCACACAACTGGGATCGACAAAGTTGACAACAGCGCACTGACCACCGTCATCCTGCCTTCAATTTGTGTGTACATTCAGTGGCTAGCACTGTAGGATTGACTGGACACAAAGGAATCGTAACTTACTCGCAAAGCCCTCTAAGCACGCTTGCACGAGGCCTTTCGGGAGGCATGTAGAAGAAGTTGTAACCAAGACCCCAGCCATCAAGCTGGAGCCTGTCAAGCCGTAATGTGCAAAGGCTCCACCTTAAAGCCTCAAAGCATGCTGCAGTCCTGAAGGACTCTGCCGTGTGGTTCTCTGGGATCTCCGAGATTACAACCTTGGGGAGCTTTCTAGCAAGCAACGTTTCAGCCTTTGATTTCCTTCATTAAGCGGTCCTGATGCCGCTGTGGGCCCTGCTGTGGTCAAGGGAAGAGCTTGCAGATCGTCCCCCTTTCAAGCCAGCAGTGAGCTCAACATCTGCAAACTCAGAGGATCTCAGAGGATCCTAGTCATGTTCTCTATATCGCAAGCCTCTCTGCGGCTCTTCCGTCCTCTCCTGGCTCTTCTTGAGGATGACGAGAGACCAGCTTGTGCCCAAAGCGCAGAATATGCTGAAGCGGTCATGACCTCCATTGGAATCAAGCCATCCGGCCAAACTTGCTGTGATCATGTTATGAGCCTGAAAAGGCATCTCAGTCATGGCTGCCAGCGGCACAAAGTCTGGAGCATCAGCTGCAAATTGCCTTAGATCACGATATGCTAGAAGCACCCGCAACTTTCGCACAAGAGGAAGGAAACCGAACTCAGAAGGTGGCATGGGCCCGCTTACCTACCACAGACAGGATAGGCAGGCGTACGTGGAATCGCTGAATGTGACGTGCATCGTTCTGTACCTACCTCCATGTACTCTGGCTCTTCGCCAGGCGGCCTGCCCATCAAGATATCTTACAGGGCAAGAGGAAGACAACAAACAGTTTCTGATCTTGGTGCCTCGGAGGTCTTCCGGCGACGATGTCCGCAAAGGATGGCATCAGTACTGTGCTGTCCACCTGAAACAAACATGTAGAATTTAGAAAAGTAAATCCAAGTGTCTACCTCTCTTGACTTCATGACGCGCTGTGAAGTTGTTCCAGCTACTTGGTGTCCCTGTGTATCCCACAGCCTCTCCAGCATTTGGCTCCTTCGGCATCTTTGGCTCTGCGTCTGCAACTGACACATTTGCTGGCGCGTCTGCCGCAGGCATTGTTGTTGGTTGGGCGTTTGATGTGACGGGAGCGATGCTGTGGCAACCAGGAAGCTCCGTGGTTGCGACTGCTTTGACATTTGATCGGGGGGCCTGTGCCTCTTGAGAAGGCACCTGGCTCGTTGCCTGCCGCTCAGGCTTACGACCAGATGCCCGCGCCTCCTCACAAGCTTGCCGCTGCCGAAGACGTTGCCGCTGCCGCTTTGAGAGGCCACTTGAACGAACATCTTGAGTCTGCATCTGGGTGTTGTCGAGATCGCTCTGCTGTTCTGCTTGATCGCATTCTGCATGGCCACGCTGCTCCTCCTCCTCGTGCTGTGGATCTGGCTCTGCAGCTGGCTCCTTCCGAGTCAGAATTGTGAAGGGTCTGCTTTATCTGTTTGAGAACACGAGCCTGTTCTCCTTGCATCTCACCTGCAGCAGAAATGCCCCAACAGAATCTAGCCGTAAGGTTTGCGGCTTCGCTACGATATGCTAGGATTGCCACCGGCGCAAGCACACATAATATGTCATGATATCCATCTATGTTGGTGTTGCTGCTCTTTCAAGTGCCTCGTCTCCTCAAGCTTCGGACCTTTTGCCCTACGCTTTTGATCCATCCTTCGCTTGCCTGGATGTGTGCGCGTGTACTGTCTAGATGACATCGCATCATGAGTCAGCCAGTTACCGTTTCAAGCAAAGCGAGCTTCAGATAGATGAGTTGGACCGCGCAAGGCCTGAGAGGAAGCTTCGGCCTCTTCCTCACAGAACTCATCATCCTGCAAACTCTGATGCCCCAAAGTGCCATGGGATGAACTGCCACCCACACCTTTTCCGGTTTGGCTTGCAGGATATCGCCAGCTGCGACCTCTCAGATTGGAATCATACTTTTAAAAGCAAAAGCATGGTATGCAACTGGTTCACAACCTGATTGCCATTGCTCGCTTCCGCTGTTGCCAGCAGAAAAATGCCATGAATGGCCTGCGAAAACACATTGAAGAAACGCTCTGTGAATGGCGTCCTTGTCAGAAACTGAATTTATCACAACCCCTGCTCCACGCAGCCATGGATTGGGTATTGGGCTTGCATCTGGATGGTATTCGGGCCATGGTTTTTTATTCTCAATCATTTTTTTCCAAAGACAAAGCAACTCCTACCCTGAACTCACCACCGGCGTCTGCCCTCCTTCAGGCAGCCCTTCTGAAAAGCTGCAAGTCTCATCCATGGTCGGGATTTCTTGCATTGGGCACACTTGATCCCTCCAGGACGCACTTCAACCTGATGACTGCGGTGCACCCCTAACTCATTGAGCCTCTGCGCCTGAAGTCTCCCTCCCGGACATGGACATTGCATGTGAAACTTACGGTGCACGCTGCTTGTGGGCTCACTGCACTTCAGCGTGATCAAACACCAAGAGCATCTCGCAGTATTTTCCTTAACCACCCAGTTGTGGGTGGGTGAAATATCCTGAGCATTTTGGAGAAGTTCCTGTTTCGTGGCCTTTCTAGGCCCTTCAAATTTCTTCAGCTCACAAGCTTTACTAGTTAGGTGAAAGGCGACAGCTTGGTGCAACCAAGTTAACACGTCAGCCGTTCGCTGATCAACCCACTGAAGAACATCACCCCTAATGCCCAAAGGCCCGCTCAGCTCCTTAGCTCTAGTATCAGCTAATTTGTCAGCTTCTTGGTTTCCAAACCATTGCAATCGATCTTCATAGGAGTACTGCAGGACAAAATCCTCCTCCGTCAGATGACTTTTAATCTTGTGTAGTTGGATTTTGTTGTGGCGCTGCTTCGCCAAAGCAAGTCTGCCCCACAAGTCCGGATTTTTGAAAGTGAGGGGCACTAAGCCCTCCTGACCCAGCTTCCGGAAACGTTTCACCACATAACTATGATGAGCACCAGGATTATGACCTGAGCCCGTGGACCAACAAAACCAGGCAATCTAGTTTTCAAGCCCGGGCTGGCAGAAGATTGAGCTCTCATGGGGCACCCCATATCTGACAAAAAGTCCAGCGCTCAAGTAAACAATGTTCCAAACCATGAGCTTGCATTGAGCGCCCTCCCAATTGGCATGAAATGGCCCGAACGACAGCGATCAGTGATCAAACTATACGGTGCAAAGAAAAACACTTTAGGAGGAGTCAAAGAACAACATGCTTTGGCAGAGTCCGGATAGGCGGTCCAAGGTGAGAGCACCAGCGTCCGGGGCCAAATGACCAATACAAGTAGCATGTGAGGATGATCCGCGTCCAAAATGTGAACGCGCAACATGCGAGTTACGTCAATGGGACATTTGTCGATTGCACACGGCCTGCGTGGAGGCCCATCAGCACCGACAAAATCTACCACTATGCCAGGGCTAGCGCTTCTACTTCGCGCAATGATGCACATCTTGCCCGGCCCCTCGGCATCCACTTGCCGGCTTGCCCAGCTCCCGTTCCACTAGTCCTCCCTGGTTTTGAAATCGCGGTTGCATTCGCTCTTCTCCCCGACTGTGTCTTTTTCCATTTGGGTTCGGCGTCCCCCCAACCACACTGGGGCATTGATCTATGTTCCTTTCACTCCCGAGGTCCCGACGCAGTCAGTTCACCTTTTGGCATTAAAATTAAAACATAAACGCAAGTCCATGCAGAGCCTTGGATCCACACCAGCTCACTAATTGTTGTTTGCAATGTCAATCACTCAATCACCGCCTCTTTTGACTTTGAGTGCGCAGCAACGTCTCCGAAGCCGAGCGACCCCGTAAACAGGCCATTCGGCCCGGCTTTAGGCTGTAGCAAGCTACATCTATTTCAGGGAAAGCGTGCAAAGAAACAAATTAGACTACCCGGTATGAAAACTCAGCAGCAACCTAGAAAAAGGAGTTGCCTGCACCGAAATGCAGCAGCAACTTCTCAAAAACATACAGGTTCAAGGCAAAGCTAGTCAGAGGCACAGCATCCCATGTCCCAGCAAACTTTGGGATGATGTTACCTCCCTATACTAAGGGTACTTTAGACACTGTACAAATGACAGAGCACCCATATCCCAATAAAACTTGGGGCGGTGTTGTCACGAAGTCTGTATTTGGCAATCCACTCGGAAAACAAGCTGCGTCTGTTCAAGCCTAGGCATCTTGCTGAAAACCCGGAAAATTTGATGTAAAGGAGTCCACGTATCTCCCTGCAAATGACCTCCTGCAACATTCTGCCAGCAGAGGGTTCAAGGTTCTCATCAAGGCAATCAGCATTAGCAGCATCTGGAATCTCTGCTCCAGAAGTTTCCGATTGGGATCAGTCAAGCTCCCCTGGCTCGATGCGCCGAAAAAAATAGAGCCCTGGGGCTGGTCAGCTATAGCATCCATGAGCCTTCCACACGCATTCGCACCATTCTGAAGTTGAAAATCACGGAGCTGCCTGTAAATTGAGGTTTCTGGCAACACGTCTGCAACGTTCTGCGAACTCTGATTGTCTTGTCTCCTCCAGAGAGGCCTCACCTACACGCATAGGCTGTTCAGAAATGTCGGAAGCCAGGCTCGGTTCCATGGTGCTTGACTCTTGGCTGTCAGAGTCCATCTTCAAGCAGAAAACCAAATATGGTCAGCTATGACAATGCAGCTATGACTCTCCAAGGGCTCATTCACGCAAGCGAGGGTCAAGTAAGGCAGGAATCATCATCCTAGGGCCGAGGGTCCCTTAGTTCAGCAAATGTAAATTTAGAGACCAGGCTTGTCCTGAAGTCAGGTTGCAGCAAGAAAAGGTAAGTGGCGCAAAGACAAGTTTGTCACATGTTGCACTTGAACCTGTACATGTAGCCTGATGGCATGTGCTCAGGTCACCACCGAATGGCGTCACACTTGTTGGCACGCTTGCTCTCAAATCAAGCATCTCTTAGGTCGGAAGCTTCGCTTCGGCAACTTCAAAACACGCATCGTGGCGGCAGGCGACTAATAGCCAACAAGGACACAGGGGTCTACAACCGCTAACATAAAAACCAAGCGAAACTATGGGTGACAGGCATTCTGTCTTCGGAGTGGAAAAACCCCCATCGGCACAGCAGAGGGGACGCCCATCAATTAGGCAAAAGTGGACGTCAGTCAGGAACAGTGTCTCGAGGTCTCCGGCGCTAGCAAGTCTAGGATCTCTACCACCATCACAGATCATCCACTTCCATTCTGAGGATCTGCCCAGCAGGCTGCCAGGGACACTCAGTGCTGCGATGTAATGACCTGAGCGCAGGGTTGATCCTAGGTGGCAAATGGCAAAGAGTACGGTATAGCTGACCATGTGAGTCTGGTGCCCTTGCGCAGGTACCTCATCAGTTGGACCATGATCAGTCCTCCTGAGTGCATGAGGGCATGAGTGGCACGCTGGCGTTCCCAAACCTTCAGAGTGTTGCCTTGCAATGCGATCGGCTGGGGCGCAGACAATGTGCCCTCATCCAAGACCTGAGTGTGGCCCTGTTCATTCCTACGAGCCACGCAAGAACCTGCACACGCCGGGCGATTGGCACGCCGTAGAAGGAAGGCCAAAAACTCACCTGCATCCTGCTGTTGCTGCAAGTTTGCCCAATGCTGAAGGACAGGCATCCAGCTGCGCAAGTGTAGTACATAGACACCTCCGGCTGCGAGCACTGCTGAGAAGGAGGCTGCCAACGTGCCATATGCAGCTGGCTTTGCGGCGACTACTCCTGCCGATGCCATTGCAATGACTGAGGAATTAAGGTAGCAAACATTACGCGGATTCACTTGTGAAAGATTGCATGCCCAAACAAATAATTGGCTGCGCGCCTTCATGGCGGAATCCTGGCCCTGCTTAGAGCTGCTGCCGCTCTGATTCCAGTCGCACATGGAGGAATCCTTGAAGGTTTGCTCCAAGGCTTCCAAGGCCTTCACTATGGGCTGCCGCTCCAGGCGCTCTGGCCTCCACCTGATCCCCACCACTTTGGGGGCCGCGCTGTCGACTAGCGCGGGCGCACCCACATTCAGAAAAAAAGGGCAACACCGGTCCTCCAGCTTTTCTGTGAGGAGTCTGGTCGCACGAAAGCAAGTTAGGACCCTGTCCTCTGGAATGCACTTGCGCAGGGTTGACAGAATATTCAGAATCTGTCCATGCTCCAGGGCACCCTTCCTGGACCTGACGCGCTTCTGCTCCGCGTTCCAGGCACGGAAACACCACTGAGGATTCAGAGGCTGGCCAACCATTCGCGCTTCTCCGATCGACCTTGCCAATCTCCATTTGGGGACAGGGGCAGCTTTGGTACCCACCAACTTGGGCCGCAGGAGGGAAGTGCATCGCCCGTGTGGTACCGCAATACGCTTATTTCCCTGGAAAGTCTATTGTTTAGGCCATTTCTAGGGTTGCCAAGAATTGTGTCAAACTTAGGGCCAGACTTAAAGAGGGAGTTGAGACTGCACATACCCGCAGGTTAAAACTGCCCAAAGGCAGCA